TAAGGGTTATTTCTCCTGCACCCATCTCAGTGGTCCTGAGAAGGGATGTTAAATTCTGGATGTATGGGTTTATTTTTGGGGAAGAATCCAATATTATATAGATGGCATGATTTTAGGCATTGTTTCACTTCCTGTTTTATTCCCATTATTTTACTTCCCTTGCTGTTTTGAAGGGCCTCCAAGTCCACCCCTGGCGGAAACAACTTACCTTTTTTATATTCCTTTATTATATCGTATAGACCAGATGGGCGGGATATAAAACAAATAAATAAATAAATAAAATTTATTATGATTTATGAGTAACCTGCACGACCCACCTTTTCTCTCTCTCTCCAGGGAACACAAAAGCAGCCTGTGACTACAAGACCCAGAATCCCCAGCCAGCAAAGTCCCTTTTTCCCAGCTATCCCCTCCAGTTTATCTGAACATGCCCTAGAAAGCAATGACATGATGGTGTAAGGAAAACAGGCACCCACCTTCGGCGGGGTTAGACTCTTAAATCATTTTCTCACCGACCAACAGCCTTGGTCTAATTAATCTGTGGATTTATTTCATTGATATTCCACCTTGCTTCCACAACAGAAACCTAGGGTCACTTCGAAAGACACAAAATTAAACACACAGTAAATAAAAATATATATATTGACACTGATTGCAGTATTAAAACAGATTGCAGGTTGTTGTGGTGACTCTTAAATCATTTTCTCACCGACCAACAGCCTTGGTCTAATTAATCTGTGGATTTATTTCATTGATATTCCACCTTGCTTCCACAACAGAAACCTAGGGTCACTTCGAAAGACACGAAATTGAACATACAGTAAATAAAAATATATATATTGACATTGATTGCAGTATTAAAACAGATTGCGGGTTGTTGTGGTTTTGTTTTAAAGGATCTCTGCTTTAAAAAAAAAAAAAGAGAAGGTAATATAATTTTAAAAGGTTAAAAGAGTTGCCCCTTCTTTAAAAGGAAGGGAAAGGCAAGCCGGTTCCAGTGGATGTTTTGTCAGAAATGAACTGGATGAGGGAAGATAAATTGAAACTTAATCTAGACAAGACAGAGGAAAGGCAAGAAAGGAGAAGAGTCTTCTTGGTGGCTGCTTCCAGACTCTGGAACTCCCTCCCACTGGAGGCCAGGCTGGCTTCGTCTTTGCTGTCCTTCTCTGCAAGCAGGCAAAGACCTTTTAAGGCGAAAGGCAGGATAAAAATATTTTTAAATAAAAAGTAACATGGGTTGTTTTTTTTAATCCTTCAGATAGCCCAGACCCCAAGCTATATACGGCTTTATGGGGCTTTATGTTCAGCACAGTAAATGAAATTTAGAGTAGGCCCATCTGAATTAAAGAAATTTATGCTGAAGTTGGCTCACGGAATCCCCATTGATTCATTGTCTTTATCAAGGAGAAAGGCAGGATAAAAATATTTTTGAATAAAAAGTAACATGGGTTATTTTTTTTATCCTTCAGATAGCCTGGACCCCAAGCTATATATGACTTTATGGGGCTTTATGTTTAGCACAGTAAATGAAAGTTAGAGTAGGCCCATCTGAATTAAATAAATTTATGCTGAAGTCGACTCACAGAATCCTCGTTGATTCATTGTCTTTATTTTAAATACTGTTAATCTCTGAGTCCTTTCGAAGAAGAAAGGTGGGTTTAAAAAAGTTTGAATAAATAATTAAATAAATAAATTTCATCAGCACAGACTTGGGGAATGAAATGAATTTTATCTGTTGATTGTCTGATCCTTGTGCCCTCTGAAGCAGGACAAATATTAATACTGCCAATAGCTGCTCTCTGCTCCTTACAGATTATAAGCAATGTCCCTGCTCCAAGGAGTTTCCAGTCCAAAATTGCAACATCCAGAAATTGATGTATTTTATCCTTGTATTGGCTCACTGTCTTTAATTACCGTATTTTTCGCACCATAAGATGCACTTTTTTCCCACAAAACAGGGGGGGTGGAAAGTCTGTGCGTGTTATGGAGTGAAGAAAAAAAATTATATTTTCCTGTTTTCTTCTCCTAAAAAATTGGTGTGTCTTATGGAAAGGAGCGTTTTATGGAGCGAAAAATACGGTAGTCAGGTTTAATCCCACCGCAGATGACAGATTTTAGTTGTATAGGATTGGCAAATATAATTGCTCGTAAAGCGTAGGGGAAAGAAATCTTAAGCAAACAGAGAGCAATTCTAAAGTTAACAAACACAGCAGCTTGTTTGTTTATAAAACTCTACTCTTTCTCTTCTAAGATTACACAAAGAGATGTAACATTTACTCTACAGAGGGCCTGAATAATTAAAAAACATTGTTGGAAACAACCCCAGTCTAAAAGCCTATTTTGCTCTTAATGAGAAAAAGCATCAGAGAGTACTAATTGCCATTTTAAGTAAAACAAACAAAATGAAGACTGATGGTTTAAAAGGAAAAAAAATAAAAAAAATTATTGCTCTTAGGGAAAGCATGCTGAACGCATAAAGTTTTGCGCGTACATTTTAAAATATTTTCCCCAGTGATATTCAGACTTGTCAAAATGTTACTCTACTATGGCTAATTAATGCTAATAAAGTTTGGAGATCTTTCCAGTGGGCTGCAACCAAGCCTGGCCTAAAACAGTGAAGCAAACGAAACCCAACAAAAAGCAATAACAAGATGGCAGCTTTCCTACCGCATACACGAAAACCACCTGAACCAGCAGGTGGGTCTATTTTTAACACTTTTTAAGGGGAAACCCTCCTTGTATCACACTCAAAAGCAACAAGTAAGTCTCTTTTCCGTGTTTGCCGCCTCTCATCATCCTCTGCCCGAGACAGTAAGTGCCAGTTAATGAGAGAAAGGAGTGGTCCAGCACTTCTGCTTGTGCATCTAGAGAGGAAAAAATCAAAACTCTGCAACAATTAATTGGGACGTGCAAGTTTTGTTCTCCGTCGAGCCATGAAATTCACGGGGTGACCCCGGGCTGGTCACTATCAGTTTGATCTACTTCACAAGAGTTGTTGGGTGTGAGAAGAGTCACATAGCCTACCATGCATTAAATGGAAGAAAGGCACAATATAATATTGCTAATAATTAACAAATAAATGGGGGGGGGGACAGCTAGGGAAAGGATACCAAGTAGTGTATTTTTTTGGGAAAGAGGATTTTCCTGCTCTTTGCACTGATTGTGCTTTTGAAAATGGAGTATTCTCGCACCTGAAACAGGAATTTTCTCCTGCAATTTCTCCCTTTTTTTTCTTTTCTCTGGCTAGTATCAAACAGATCTTCTTAACCTGGCCTCCAAGGTAGCAATAATTGGCTTTAAATCACAGAGGGTGTGTAATTTGAAAAAGAAAAGAAAAGCTGGTAACACACTTTTTATTGTGCTTTATATAAGGTTCTCAGTATCTTTTATCTCTAGATTAAAATGCAAAGCAATGTAAAAATATTGGAAGAGTGAAAGAATTATGCTTTCTATTAAAACGCTCATTGGATTTTAGTCGGTATTTAAAATTTCAAATGGGAGATGGCAGGGCTGAAAAATATGTGTACTGTATATATAACTGCTTTTCAGAAGGGGCCACCTGGGTTTATCAAAAGGTTGAGAAAACGGAGATTTAGGGCCCCTTTTCTCCTGAAGTTCCACTTCCTTCCCTCTAGATGGCAGCCTACTCGGCTTCTCTGCGTCCCTCATCGATGCTCTAGCGCTTATTGGCTCGTATCCGCGAAGAGGCGGGCGAAGCACCGATGCGGAGTTGCTGATTGGCTCCTTGTCTGCAAAGCCAAAAGAAATAGGAAATATATAAAAAAATACCATCACAAAATGCCGGCTCAAAACTGAAATATCAAGATCTTCCTCTTTTTCTTCTTCTTCTTCTTCTGTCTCCTAACCGAAGGAGACAAAGCAGCCACCGTGGGGGCCTAGATGAAGAACTGACACCATAGAGATGGCAGCGGATAGAGCGGACCCCACCCCCAGGAAGCGATGGCGGCCGTTTCCGCCTCGCCGGAAGAGGTGGCAGATTCTCCGAGCAGGCGAGAGAGAGAGAGAGAGAAGGAGAAAGGTTTCTTCGGACAATGAAACCATAGAGCCGGCGAAGGGGAGAGCGGCTCCCTCCACCGCAGCGGCCTCGGGCAGCCGCTCTGCCTCGCTGGGCGCTGAGGGGGCTCTATGGTGCGCGGTGTGAGGGGTTTTTTTCCAGCAACGGCCGGACGGAGGAGGAGGCCTCAGCCGCGGAGAGGGGGGGGGGAAGAGCCAGGTAGGTGATTAATAAGGGGTTTGGGGTCCCCCTCCCCAGTCGTTTGGGAGGGTTGGGGTTGGCTGGGGCTGCCCCCCTGCACAGCCTCCCCCTAGGGTGT